ACAATAATTATGATCACAGTGATGAAGTTAACTTTACTCTTGTTGTCTTTCTCTCACAATATCTCCATCTTCACCAGTGACTGAACGTAAGGACGCTGATGAGGTGATGTTAACCTGTTTTGTGTTGAAATATGAACAGTTCTGTGGACTCACAGTGAAGTGGCTGTATGAGGGTAAAGATGTGGACAAAGACATGAAGACATCACAGTCTGGCTGCTCTGCCACTGTGTCTTTCCTGGATTCTCATTTTAGTTACAAATCAAAGTCTAACTTGAAGTGTGAAGTGACAGATCGTAACTCTGGAAAAGTGCAGGTGTTCACCTTCAACCCTCAGTCCTCAGGTGAGAAAACAGGTGAGAATATGCTGAGCTGTAAACATGAGGTATTTTCTAACTGAACAGTTTCTTGGGTTGTGTTATTTAATTCATGCAAGTGACGCAAAAAAACAACAACAACAACTGAAAACACAAAATCAGTTACAGCCTTAACAACAACAACTAATGATACTTCAACAAAACTACAAGGTAGTAACTCATCTTTCTCTGGAGTCTCTCTGTCTTCCTGTCAGCCTCTTTCTCTCCACATAATAAACTTCATTATTTAACTTTTATTTGAGTCATTGTTTTATTTTTTGTTTTACATATTTTTATTTTTTTGTATTTTTATGTCAAAACAAAAAAGAAAGAAGCTTCTTTAATTAAGTCACTTTCTGGAAACAGGCCATTTATCATGGTACAAAACTGAAAAAAATAATTTATTTTCACTAGACTTACTCTGTCTAGCGCTTTCATGTATAATGCTGGAGTACAAGTCTTGCTCTGAAATGAAGGAAATTGACACTTTTAATAAGATCTACATTAAGGTGTTTTTTCCTCTTTTAAAATAATGAAATAATTCATTATAACATTGCATTTTTGCACTGATGTAGTGGAGAATTTAGACACTGTTACAGAGCGACGCTCGGCTGTGGGTGGAGATATTCTCTTATTCAGTCAGTCTCACTCAGTTGTTGTTGCTCAATCCACAAGATCCACTGCTGCTCACAAATCAGACGACTACATTCACAGTTAGCAAAGACATGCAGGAAAACTGTGAGCTGATGAAAGTCTGTGATTCGTTGCTACTTTAGCTGCAGGATTTCAAACAGAACTGAACTGTGCAGTCAAAATGTTTCTAATGTTTTCAGAATCGTTCTGGAGGTTCATCATTGTGTCTGTGGGTTTAGCAGCACTCATAATAATTGTTGTGGCAGTCAACATCTGGACAAGAACTAAAGGTGAGAACATTCACAGATGAAACTCAGAAACAGGAAGTTTTGATAAACCTGAATCAAGAGGTACATTTGTATTTGTATTTGTATTTGGGGTACCACATAAACACTCCCTCTCTGGTCAGCTGGTAAGAACATGTGAACCACTTCCTCTCTCAGTGGCAGAAACACATAATAGTGGCTGATGGTGCGTTCAGGTGCTGTCAGATTGTTTCTTATCTCCTTACATTACATTATATTAATTATTTTAGCTGACGCTTTTATCCAAAGCGACTTACAATTGCTATATATGTCAGAGGTTGTACGCCTCTGGAGCAATTACGGGTTAAGTGTCTTGCTCAGGGACACATCGGTGGATGGGTCACAGTGGGGGACTGAACCCGGGTCTCTCACACTAAAGACATGTGTCTTATCTCCTTGTGTTAAATGTGGGTCAGTGATGTGAAAGTTGTGAGTTAAAGTGTGCCAGAGTGAGGGTTTGTTTGTGTTTCACAGGTGAATAATGATGAAGATGAAGATGATGGTGTGGTGAACTATGAAAACGATGGAGACCCTTCTGCCTCTGTCAGACTCCACTGATCAACAACTTCCATATCAACATCAGCTCATCAGAGAAAAGACTCCACTGCAGTTAAATAACAGCACATTTACACGAGTAGCTGAAGCCTTTAGAGAACAAAAATCTCATAAGATCATTTTGGGTTTTGTTTGTTGATTGTTTTTGTTTTTATTTATCAGTGTGAGAAATGTTTGTGTGTTTTTTGCTCAGCTGTTTCTGTTTCAGTCTGACTTTGAACAACAATATTCAAGTCTTGATTTCATCTCATATCAGGAAGCCCACTGTGAGTTTTATAAAATGTCTTTTCCTGCATCACTTGTGAAAATCTTTATTTTCTGCAGCCAGTTCAGAACACAGCAGCTGGATTTCAGCTTCATTTAACAGGAACGTTTAACTCTAGTTAACTTCCTTAAATCGTCTTCCAGCTGAAGAATTCTGACCTGATTTTAAGGTTCACTGTTTGTTTTTGAAGCTACAGCAGCTTGAGCTCAGTTTCATGTCAGAATAACTCATTTTAATTCACTTTCATTTAACATTGTTATTGACATATTTGTTCGGATGTGTGTGTGTGTTTGGCTTGAATGGATTTTCAGCCTTAATGGAGTCAGTAACAGTCTCCTCTTTATCATATCTGATTATATATTAACTGCAAATAAAGAAATGTTCACTTAACTCTACACTTTGTTTTGTGATTCCGTCACTGACTGCCTCTGTGTCAGTATTTTTTGTCTGCCACTCCACTTTTAAAATGTATGCACTAAATGAAGGAATAACATTCAATGTTCAGTATACTTACACACAAACACTACATGTCATGTAAAGGACCTATGTCATTCAGTACATGACAATCACTCCACATTAACAACCAGGTATTTCAAATAAAGAGATACAATCTATTTATCATCATTTATCATATAGGTTGCGGGATGAGTAATGGAGGAAAAGATGTATCACAACAGTGATGCTACAGTATCACCATATTGCACCATGGACATCAGGAGTCAGATTCTGGTGGGAGAGGAGTTTGACTCTTCACCTGTCGGTTCATGTGTGCTGTCAAACATCACCATGGATCCTGTCTGTTTTCTAATAAACACTATCTGAAGCAAGGACATCACTAGGATTGAAAGTCTTAGCCCCCCCGTCCACTAACGTGTAGTACTGTGACATTTTTGCTAACCCTCTATCACATTTTCACAAGGCAAAGTGACTTGGTCTTTGCACTCGCATCTTTTGTTTCTGTATTAGAACTACACTTGTGTCAACAACCATAATGTTACACGGGCGTCGGAAGCGAAAAAAAATGTGTGTGGCTCCGACATCCATGTCACGTTAGCTTTCACACACATCAACGCTGCATTCACTTAGGCCAGACTGAGTTCTGCTGTAGGCTGTGACTTAAATGCTACCCAGCTGCTCATGTAAATGTGTGATAAAGTAATACCACATCTAATTCCTCTCTCTTTTAGATAAGTTGCAGGTCCAAAGAATGCTATTTACCATTACTGCACTGTGGATTGGTTCAATCAGAGTGTGATTTTGCTCTATAGCTTGGCATGCATACCGAAAGCTGTTGATAAACATCCTATTTAAAGTGGCTACTGTCTGAATTTAATAATCTGATGGTGGAAGGAATAAAAGATTTGGAGTAATAATTACTATATGTATGGATACATGTACTGTATGTATGATTGCTTTTATTTTGCTATATTTTCTTGCGTGTATATCTGTGGGTATATGCTCATGAAGGTATAACCTAGCCATTTAGGCAACATCTACATATTTAATTTATTACACCCAATGAATACAGAAAGTTAAGTGGGTCACAATACAGCAAATAATAAATATCATGAAATAATTTACTTTAGGCTATGCCCTGGTGCCTAGACCTGCCAACAAATGTCTGTTGTTAGAAGAAAACAAAATAGCCCACATTTCCTTAGACCTGTAGACCACTACTGATCTCAGAATCAGCTGCCCTGCCTATCTCCCGCTTCTCTCTCTCTCTCCTAAAATATCTTATCCATCTGGTCAATGAATGGAAGGACAACAGCATTAACAGGGACGCTATGACATTTAGCTTTCACTGACAAAAACATTCAGTGAGGACTGATAGTGTTTTGAAACAGGCGTGTAGAGATCACACTATCAGCACTAGTGTTTTCCATAGCCAACTAAAATATCCCCTCTCCTTTAGCTCAAGTAAACTTAGCTTAAGTTTAACAAGTAACAGACACGAACAACGACTTACAGTTTCACTCTGTATCACTCACTACGCTGAATCATACTTCCTTCAGCGTGTCTATGGGCCTTTCCAAAAGTGCTTGCTACTCCTTCTCCCTACCTACTTCCACTCTGTTTGCACGTGCATGCGGAGGGTCCGCCACATTGGGTGCCATCCGAAACCAATGAGGGCGGAGTGGTAGTGGGTTGTTAAACCCTCTAATGCCGAGTCAGCACCGGCTTGTTGAAGGAGTGTTACACCCTTTGCTGCATGGTGACTGAAATAGTCCTAACGACGTCCATGATCTAAAGAAAACATTATTGCAAACATTTATCTTAACAGTCTTCACACCTTCAGCTTCCTCTTCCCTTTTTCAGGAGGTGAAACACGTCATTGTCACAAATACACAGCGTGAACTGGATACACAGCATGAGTCTTAACATAGTTAATTTGTTACTGTGTTAGATTGGCTAAACGAATGTAGAAACATAAACCTTTGCCTTGTATTCACAACTTGTTCAGGATCTTTGTCAGGCGGCTGTGACCTCTGACATCTTTACTGATGGCTGCATCTCATATTGCTGATCAAGAATTTGATGTCGTTTTCCGTCACTGTGGATGCCAGAAAACTCAAATTCAGAGAGCCTGAAATCTAAAACAGACTGAAAGTCACAATGAGGAAGAGTCTTGTTTTGGTATTGATCTTTATTTTGATTTATCTGTATCCTTGTGCCTGTTGCTTGTCAGACATCAGTATCTACCTGTCAGTACCTCCACACTGAAACACATCTGGCTTTTTGGCGGTTAAGATAAAGAAATTAAACGAGAGCTGAAAACCTGATTTGAACTGAAAGAATTTAAAAAAAAATTCAAGTCACTAAAAGGAAGTGATATTTTATATAGGAAGTAAATGAGGTTTGTTCTAAAAGTAGCACAAGTGCAGAGACTTTCATTGTTGAGGAGGTGAAAACAAGAGGGAGAGAAAAGCAAAATGGTTCAATTCAGTTGGATTAATACGTCTTTATTTGTGATACTGGTGCTTCAGTTTACAGGTAAGGTCTCACAAAACATGAATAAAAGAAACATAACAAAACATCAATAACAGTATTTAAGTATATAACATTAATTTAAGTTTACTTAGTTTGTTTTGGACATGGTGTGTTGAGTTTATTCTTGTAAAAGGAGAATACTGTATGTAGTTTGTTGTATTTGATGTTCTCCTCACAAAACTATAAAACAGAAAAGACATTCTTATTACAGTTCATTTTTTTATGTTTATATCTCATCTTCAACAGCTGTAACTGGACAGAACTCTCCCTCCTTCACTGTCAAAGTTGGAGATGAAGTCACTTTGCCTTGTGAAAATGTGATAAATAATCAGGACAAGTGTGACAGTACTTCCTGGGTTGTCAGTCGTTATATTGAGACAACAGAGCTGGTTACACATGGGAAGATTAGTAAAAATGAGATTTCCAAAGTTAAATCAGACAGAATGAGTGTTACAGAGAACTGTTCTCTGGTTATAAAGAACGTCACAGACGAGGATGTTGGTCGTTACACCTGCAGACAGTTCAACAAATCAGGACAACAACAAGGTCCAGACTCTCAGGTTCATCTGTCTGTTATTATCAGTGAGTATTTCCATCATAATGTTTTCAGCTCAAACTGTCTTGTTAGAACAATATACTGAAACATTACAATAATTATGATCACAGTGATGAAGTTAACTTTACTCTTGTTGTCTTTCTCTCACAATATCTCCATCTTCACCAGTGAAACACTTTCAGAACAATGATCAGGTCAGCTTGTACTGCAATGTGTTTACATTTGGCGAGTGTGGACACACAGTCGAGTGGTTGTATCAGGGCGATGAGAACGACACGGCGACATCACAGGGTTCCTGTTCAGATATTGTGGTATTTACTCCTCGTCTTAATCAGAATTCAAACTATTCTGAGTTACTGAAGTGTAACGTGACAGATAACAAGAGTGGACAGATGCTGCTGTGTAGCGTTGGCCCCCAGTCCTCATGTCAGAAAACAGGTACATTCGGTTTTATATGATGAACATTAAGATTTATGATTAGAACAGTATTCTTTCTCTTGTATTTTTTAATAATTACTTGTGTTATTTCAGTTCGTACGACAAAATCAAAAGGTATCACAACAGAGGGGAGAAACGAAACTCTACTCACAAAGGTTGAAACTACATTGAAACAAGGTAGTGACTCTTACATCTCCCTCTCTCCATATGAAGTTTAAAGTAAGAATGAAAAGCCTGTTTGTACTTCTTAACCTCTCATATGTTGCAATTTGATTTTGGGAAGACATTTTTTTGAAGGGTTTCATATGAGTTGTTTTTAGGTTTTATTTCACCACAAAACATTTCAGCATGTTATTGTATACATCTTTATCATATTAAACTGCTATTTAATGATGATTTCTAGAAAACATTCAGAGTGAGATAAAGTTGATGCAGACATGATAGATGTGTTCACTGATAGACGCAGGCTTAGTCCAACAGAAACTGATTTACTTTGTACAGAAAGTTTCCAAACTTATGTAAAAAGCTAATTAATAGAACAGAAAACTGCATTCAAAATATTTTTAATGTACAGTTCCAGGTTGGTGGCGGTACATCATTGTGTCTGTAGTTTTAGCAGCACTCTCAATAAGTGTTGTGGCGGTCAAAATATGGACGAAAACTAAAAGGTGAGAGCAACCTCAAGGGAAACTGTTCTAATAAGATGTTTTTTTTAAAAAAAACTTTGATTTCCAGAGTCAAAACTACAAGTCGACTCTTTTTTTGTGTTTTCAGGGAACAAAACACAGATGGATGAAAATGTTGTGAGTTTTAAAGCTTAATAATCAAATGTTTATAGAGTTTTGACTTCGCAATACCTAAAGTGTTGTAAATATTACCGTTACATTTACACAACTGCAACTGAGTGTAAGAGAAGTAAGTAAAAAAAAAAAAGAGAAGTAAAATTATGCAACTGTCTCAGTTTTATACTATGTCTTCACTTTGTAGGCGGCTCCTGAAGATGGTGTTTCGAAGCTACACCAAGGTGCCCAACCGTAAGGCCCAGGTAAGCTGTTGGATTGGTTATCCAAAAGAAGTCGGAGCCAGCAAATTTAATGACAATTCATCCAATAATTGTTAAGACATTTCACTTAAAACCACAAATGTGAACCTCATCCTGGTGCTCAAGGAAAAATCAGGGAATCACCAAAATCATCAAGGTTCGTTCTTTGTGAGCGATGAATGTCTGTGCCAAATATTGTGCCAATACATAAAGTAGACGTTGACATATTTCACAAAATAATTCAAAACTTTGAACTGCTTCTTGCTCTAAAGGAGAAGTCAGAGAAGTCAGAAGTTATTAAGATTCATCCTCCTGGACTCGAATGTCTGAATAAAATTGTCACTACAATCGATCCAACAGTTGTTGAGTATTTCAGTACTTCATTTCTAAAGTACTGGACGGGCCGATCAACTGGCAGACACATATATAAAATTTGTGAGCGCTTGTGAGGACTTTGTAATAAGTTGTCTTCCATTGCTGTCTGTGGCAGTGTGTTACAGTGTGATGTGTTCTGAGACAAGGATTTAGTTACTTGTGTTGTGCTTATACAGTTTTACACTGTATTGTGGCGTATCACAATGAGTTCTGTTGTGTTTATGCATGTTTTGATGTATTTCATTTAATAGTTCCCTGAGTTTATGTCCAGTTTAATGTCAGGATGATGCTTTGCACTGTTGTCTGTCATTGAGTTGGATTACAACATGCTGAATGTCGTTGTGCCATGTTATGTTGCTTAATTTATGTTTCGTGCCGTTTCTCTTTTATTTCAAATGTTATTGGTAAAGATGATGATGACACAGTGACTTACAGCTCTTTGAAATTTTCTTCGTCAGCTGGAGCATTTTCACAACCGTCAACAGGCTAAACAAATAAGAGGCTGCAGTGTAGTTACAGCTCATGTCACTGAAGTTACTGATAGTTGACAAGAAAACAAGTCTGTTTTTTTTTTGACGAGAGCTTTTATGAGAATTCACTCACTGAGTGACTGATATGTATAGATATATTTAGAAAATTGATCACAATCTAAATCTGGGAGAGCATTAATATCATTTATATTTTTGTTCATAACCCTAATTCTCACGTCACATTAATGACTTTGTTATTGACACAGGAAGGAAAAGACAAAAACCTGAAGCTTGAATCAAGTTGTTATTTCTAGCATATTGTAGTTTTACCTTTCAGATGAATATGTGACCATGTTTTTGTGTTACAAAATATTTTATACACTTTTTTTCATGATCAATTGCTTAATTGCTTTAAAGAATTTTGTTTTCACAACAAAATATTTCAGCCATCAAAACTCATGTATTTTATGATTAAATAAATAGTGAATACTGGATTTACAGGTGACACAAACAAGCCTCTGAAAGAACAATCAAGCTGCTCTGCACTGTCTGCTCATAAGTTTATGATGACGTGTCAAGTGTTGTGTTCACAACTTGTTTCCACTTCCCGCAAGTGGCCAAAAATAAATCATTATTGCAGGTTTAAGGATGAAAGTGTGTAATGTCCTTCGAAGTCTTGTTATTCCACCATTTGACATTTGGTGGCAGCAAAGTGCCAAGAAACAGCTTCCTGCCATCAAAATACAGGAAAGCAGTGCTTTGCAGGTAATATTCCTTTTGTTGTCCTCTTTGGTCAAATGTTTAAAGCCTCTGACCAGAGCCAGCAGCCCTGATGGGTGTGGTTGGATCTGGAGCCACACCCATCAGTGATGTCACGGTGCTCTGGAGTACACCTGTGCATCACTGCAGCAAGGTGAGAAGGTAAGCCACTGGAGGGCAGCAAAACAAGCTTTTTAGGAGGTGTTAAGTTCTTCTTTCCTGACTGAGGAAATTGATTTGAGATAGTTTTGGGGGAGAAACACTGAATGTAAACATAACTGTGTTTACCGGAAAACCCCACAGGGTGCCTTTGCCAGGTGTCAGAGGTAGAAATAGCCTCCTTAAAGGTTATCTTATAGCTGTTCTAATTACTGTTTTAAAACGGCACTTGGGAAAAGTAATAGGAAAGAGAAGAGGTAGGGAAGGAAATGAGGAATCATAAATGGTTACTCAGTCTTAGATTTCCTCTCTCATTCTGCATTCAGCAGCATGATGCTTTCTGTCTGCCTTCCAAATGGGAATCTGGGAGAGAAATCCCTCTAAGTCGGTAACCCTGAGCAGTGATCGTGGGTGAGACGGCTCATTACGACGACCAGCTGCTGTGTCAGACTTCCAAATCAAGTCTTAATGTTCGAAAGCCGGCAAGTCATGTCTGCCAGAGAGAGTAAAGCTTCTGTAAAGCCGCCTGCCTCCGCTCTGCTCGCCATGCTAAGCCGCCATGACCATATGTGCAGTACAGAAAAACTAAATATAACTGAGGTTGACGTCGGCAGCATGAGTACAAGTTTCGGCAGAGTCAGCTGTGATGAATTATTTGGGTCTCTGGGCTGAAATAAAAATGTTTGCAGCCTAAGTTCAAGAGTCGGTTGTTCTGAACATGGACAGATTGACAGAAACACAGAAACAAACTGGATCAGAGCATTTTAGGACAATACGTTAAATTTCCTGAAGAACTTTGACCTGTATGCATGCTAAATTCAGCTTACTGTACTATAAAAGACTGGCCAAACCAGAAAGTGGCAGTGAAATTAATCCACATGTTTTCACGAACTTGTCGTTGATGAAAACTAGTGACTGTGATTGTTTCTGTGAACTACTGAAGCTGCCGAGCGAAAGACAGAACAATAAATTCACTCAGTTCATTCAAAAGACATAAAGTATTTGTTCCATGACTACTGTCTTAATACCATGTTTCTTTTGAGGAGCTGTTTATTCTGTGATTCAGTTTGGACTCTCCAGTCCTCCGTTCCCTTAAAGCTCAGCACTGCCAGGTCACCAAGTTCAGTGAAACATTTGTGTGTATTTAACACAAGTGAATCCACTGAACACTGTAATTCCATCCATCCATCATCAACCGCTTATCCTGCGTACAGGGTCACGGGGGGCTGGAGCCAATCCCAGCTGACATCGGGCGAAAGGCGGGGTACACCCTGGACAGGTCGCCAGTCCACATCGCAGGGCCACACATAGACAGACAACCAGTCACGCTCACACTCGCACCTACGGACAATTTAGGGTCACCAATCAATCTAGGCCGCATGTCTTTGGATGGTGGGAGGAAGCCGGAGAGAACCCACGCGGACATGGGGAGAACATGAAAACTCCACACAGAAAGGCCGGGGGAACCGGGGTTTGAACCCACGACCTTCTTGCTAACCACTGCATCACTGTGCCGCCCACTGTTATTCCATTGAAATAAATTTGTTTTTAAAATGCTGGTGTGACCAGGACATGTGGCACCTGAATGCTAACATTAACAACATGAATGCTAATTTTCAGCATTTGCCACATTTTAAAGTTTGGTAACGTAGAACTGAGCCCGACAAGCTAAGTCTGTGATTTCCACCATTCAGAGGACTCTGACATAGTTTCCAGCTCTCTTATTACACCATGTGATAAACACTTTGGTCAAACCTTCTCTTGTCACGCAGTGTTCCCGCCATTGTTTATTTTATTACTCTTCTTGGCGTATTTTCATTCAGATCACCACTAAATCATAGCTAAAGATGTTTTAAGCAGAAATGCCTCCAGTATGCAGAATGCTGGGCCCAACAAACTCATAAACTGGACAGTAGGCTGGAATAAAAACGTCCTCAGGTCTGTTGAGGTCAGCGACTGTTCGGCCGTCCAGTTTTGGGTCCGGAACATTCCACTTGGTTACTGCATTTGTGAGTTTTGGAGTCAATATATTAAATAGTACCAGAGGGAATGTGCAATGTATTGCACCCTCGGTGCATTCGGCAGCCAAGGAAAACATACAGTGGGAGGTGTCACCATGTGAGTGTGAGGCGAGGATATTTGTGTAGATGACTGGACTGTGCAGTCTGGTTCTGGTCGAGAACGAACCCAGAATTTTCCTTACAGGTTGCCGTCAGATACACATCGGTGACCGGGAAGCTGAAGCATAGTTAGGCAGAGTTTATTCGAGTTACTTTACCCTCCTCACTAACTGTCTCTCCAGAGGATTAATAACTTTAACTGTGCTGTGTGGACAAAGTTTGTTGAAACACATAAGACTGAAATTCCAGTGGAGGACAAACATTTCTAAGTACACCAAATATGTCAAGAAGAATTTTGGGGAATTTACAAAATGATCCATCCGGTAATCTCATTAAATGTAGCACTAATTTTAAACAGCATGTATGGCTTCAATTAGGAGTAAAATACTTACGCACATACTGAATATATACAATAAGATTTTAGATTCCAACCACTATTTGTAAAATGAAAAAACATATATATCCACCTCTGACACCTCCATTGGTGGTTTAAAAATAGTTCTCTAAACTAAACAACATTGTCTTCAAAAACGTGTGAGCATTTTGTGCTGATAGTTAAAGTTTGGTTAAATTTAGGCAATAAAAACCTTTTTGGTTATGGAAAGATCATGGTCGTGGTTAAAAGAAAACAACAATGACTGTCAATAACAAACAAATCCACTGATTTCGGCAATTTCATTGAAAGGAATTGATTTCGCTGTGAAACGTTGTTTTAAATGCTAGAAAAACTAGAGGTTTTACTGAAATGTGGCTCACATGCAGCTCTTTATTCCTTCTTATGAGTCCATTACAGCTTCTGTTTAAAGTTTTGCTGTTCTGTGCACAGAATATGTATGAATTGTAAAATGAGTAGCTTTGAAAGTGACTCTCCCTGCCTATATCTGGTCCATCAGCCCACCGACGGGCTCAAAGTGTCTCAAACAGATGATTGATGTGAAACATTCCCCCTAAACATAAACACAGTCAGTGTTTTCAGCTGTGGATGATCCATCTGGGAAGAGCTCAGACCACTGCAGAAGGAACTTTTTTCCTTTTCACTATTTTTACTGCGTTCATTTAAGTCCCACTTGGATCATTTCGGTTGAAAGTGAAGAAAGATAGCGCTCAGCCCTCACAAGATGTTTGCAAGCTTGTCCTGCAGGTGCTTTTGCAAAGAAACTTACAGTTAAAATTGCAGTAGGTTATGTGTCTATGAGAGAAATGGCCACGGTGAAGAAAGACAAAGTTGTCGTCTAATGCTCCTGCTTTTTCATTTATATATATAAAAAAGATTTTGAAAGAAAACCCATCAATGCTTTAGATTACAGCCTGAAGATTACAGTGCAATTATTTAGTACATATGAGATGAATCATGAACCAGGTACCTACACAAGGACAACAATATAAGCACATGGTAAGAAGACTTACTTAAGGAAGAAGGAAAGCCTGTAAGCCTGGAGCACAAACCTTTCCACAGTTATTTGTCACTGCATTTCCCTTTAAAAAAGTGTTAAAAAGATCTAAATTTGTTGCTCTACAAAGACAGATCCCTCATATTTCTGTGTAAGTATGTGTTTCAGCACTAGGTGGCAGCACTCTGCAGGCCATTCCTGCACTGTGACTCTCCAGACACTGAACACTTTTCATGTCTGACAGTAAAGAAAACCATGCAGGTATCCTTCATGCTGTTTACACAAACTGTAGCCTCACAGTTTCACCCCTGCTGTGTGTTTATACAGCCTTTAATAGTTTTCACAACAGGGACTTTAAAAACGGTGTTTCTTTGTCCTCCCCCAGAAATAATTCTTAATAATCCTGTAAGAAACAAAAAAACAGCAAAAAATATTGCCA